AGATCAGGAAAGCTGAGCTTATCCTTGGGTGTTTCACTATGTTTGTGGAGAGTAGTTTGAAGCAATGTAAGCTGTGATTTATGGGAGTGGGAATATGTGGATGTTGCTAGGCTAGTAGCAGTGCAATGCCTGTTTCTTTTATCAACCACAAAAATACTTTAAAATACTATCTTACCCTTCATATCAGTCCTCAATATTGAAGGAGTTCAAAGCCAGCTGTTCTCTTATCCTGGAAGCAAAGACAAAAGAGAAGTCTGGATGTCGACCTTACTGATTTTGTCCATCCTTTCTGTAAATTGACTTATTCTCTATTATCTTTTGACAACCATTTGTACTTTTTATCTGCAACAAGCTTAGAGCATCTCTGAGCACAGAGGAACATGAATTCTGAGGTGCAGGGCTGCTTCCTCTTGGCTTCATAGGGATTGCACAGGATTTATCTTTCGACTCCTAGACAGTCCAGAGTAAGGAACTTCTTATTTCATCTTGCTCTGCACTTTCTTTCTCCCTGCAACGTTGATGTAAGGTTGCTACTCAGGCATTGCCTCATTTAATGCATCCTTCAAGCTGATGCAGCCAAATGTCTTTTCTCTTATGCCACATAACAACATTCCTACATCAACTTTACACTTCTCTTCGATGGATAAACGCCAGAAAGAACAAATATTTCCTCATCAGCTTGACCACATCTGAAAGAGGGTAGTTTTAAAGGGAAGCTATAGTCAAAGCTGCTGCAAACCAAAGCACAACTCACTGCTAGTTTAGATACAAAGCTAAATTATTGACAGGAGTTTCAAGGATAGAGCTGGGAGCTGTTCAACCTCTATTCAGCCCCACATTATTCCATATGTACAAAACAGGGCTTATAAATTAGGTGCCATGGCCACTCTTGTACAGCATTAGTTATAAAAATCATTGCAGTTTTGTTCACTGGTCACTGCTGCTGCCATGGAATTGTTGCAGTAATTTGGATTATTTGGGATTATATTTGGGGATGTTTTAATGCCATCACTTTGTTACTGTATCATCTCATTTAATTCCATTACTTGGTAACAAGTCATCAAAACAACAGTATATGGGTTTTGCTGGATGAATATGATAATCCTCCCTCCCTGCCTTCTGTCACAGTTACCCTCATCCTATAAATTTTGATGTGCTTGGGTTTTTATCCACCTTTATATATTTGGTTTGCCCTGCTAATGTTCTCACCTACATAGTTAACCTGTCCTAGCCTTCAGGTAGGAGGAGCATGTGTGAAAGGATAGAAGACACCCAGCTCTGATCTATAGGTTCTTGACTGTTGGGTGCAGCCTCTGCTTTTGAAATTCTCCTCTGGGAAAGCTGAGATTGTTTAAGGGGTGATCCCCTTTGTGATATTGTTTCCACATTTGCTGCCCTACCTCTGGATCTCAACATCTCCATTTTATTCTTCTGTAAAACTGCTTTGAAATTTGCTTCATCTTCTTACCAGAAGCACCCAGATTTAGGCTGATAGTGTTATCCATGGATTTGGCAGTGGAAAATCAGGTGACAGATGCCTGCAAGACTCACTAAATGACTCTGGAGATCAACTTAGAGAAGGCAAAAAAAAAAAAATTTGACCAAAGTTTTACCAATATGTAGGGATCATCTGAACATTAAGTGAGCAAACAGGAATGGTAGCAAAATCATGCTATGAGAAAAGGCCTTGAGCAGCATTTTATACAAATGAACATGGACATTACTAAGAGGAAGGTGGTGGGTCTTGGTTCCCAGAGTAGCATGATAAAACTGCCTTAAACCCCCTTATGGAAAGCAGAGAGTTAAGATTGCTGTTGTGTGTGATATTTCAAATCATGAAGTCATTAGTGTAATTCATCCTGAGTTTTGTATTGGTATCTTTAACAAATGCCTAGTTTTATTTATTTTTAGGAGGAAGGACAGGTATACTGAAAAAAGAAGACTCTTGCCCCAGAACTCATTCATTCCTGTTGTAGAAAAAAATAAATTGTTTCCTTTCAGAAGACTTGATCTATGCAGTAACATGGTCACACATTTATTTTGTCACTTGGATTAAGTTTCTACAACAGGGCTATGCTCATAAGGATGTAAGTTCCTGGCATTTTTCCAATTATCAATACTGAAATATTAGTGATCAAGCGTTTACTGAATGCCATTCCTCAAATGCAGGGGCTCCACAGCATCTTATTGCATTCATGGAATTCATTTGTTTGCATTATCTGGCTAACTGGTTCTTTTGTATTGCCAAGGTGATGAACAGATTTGACATTTCACTGATTACTTCACCAAAATTAAACAGAAAACAGGGCAGCCATCCAAAGTTCCTTTCAGTGCGAAACCTAATTATAAAAATGCTTTGAGCAGCAATTTCTTTTTGGATGTTAAAGTGCTTTTATTAGATTGTTCCCCTGTCATTTTAAAATTTATTGCTAGACACTTATAAATGGGGTTGCCTGTTGAAGTAGACTTATTTTATTTTCTATATTTAAGATGAGACGAAAAAGTGCATGGAGCAAATTTTAGCCTGAATTTGTTAGTATTTTACATGTTTCTGAAAAGGAAGGAGACTAACTAGTGCTAGATTTCACAGACCCAAAATATGTAATTTATCTTTGTGTTGAATAAAATCATATCTGCTTTTTTTATTCACAATTCAGAAACTCCCAGTTTCCAAAAACTATTACTTAGAAAATAATGAAATCAAATATGTGATTTAAAATTTGAGTACAGCCCTTTATTTTTAGAAGCTTGTATTATTAATGTAGATTTGCACAATTACTGGTGATAGAAAAATCTAATGATGTTCTTGTACCTGTCTTTCATAAGCCATTACCTGTTCTCAAACAGCATAAAAGTACTCTTAAATCATTTCTCAGGATCATTGAATATAAGTTGGCCAAGTGAATTTTAAGCAGTAAATTTAGAGCTGAAGACTGAAGTGGGTCTTAGAAGAAATTTCTTGTGAAGTATTTTTTTAATGTCTTGGAGTATGTTTAACTTTTTATACTGCCTGTTGTTATTAACATTCTTTGGATCCCAAACAAGGTGTGATCTAGGGAGATTTCAAAATGATAAAATTGTGGGGTTTTGCATATGATATTGTCTAGCACACTTTGGGTACTAAATCATCTTTTGAGGACATAGATTAATTCTTGACACTGAGATCTATTAATATACCTTGAAGCCCAGTGAATTATGTGAATCTGCTGCTTCAAGCTGTAGAATTCTGCCATAACTAGGAGGAAATATTTTGCTGTAGGTAGATTAATGTTGAAAGCTTGTCAAGAAAAAGTTTAGCATTGAAAATTTGTTCTTTCTCTTTTTGCCAGTACTAGAGCTTCTACGATAAATACCATTTGTGATCTGAGGAAAAATAGAGATACAATTTCTTTTATATTTATCTGTGTTACTAGAGTTTCAATGATATAGTCTATTCCCTATTAAAAACTTCATCCTAGTGAATAATCTTACAGAGGGTATTTTTTACTCCTATCTGAGAGCTTTGCGCATAAAATACAGTAAATGTCAGTGATTATCAAAAAATTTAATTCATTGCAGGACGTGTAATTAAGATAACTCAACATTCTATGTTAACAAATAGAAAAAAGGAGAATAAGAGATTTGCTAAATACTAATTTGCTAAATATTTTTTGAAGATAATGGATAAGACTTAACAGGGACATTATGAAGAAGCTTTGAGTTGACAGAATGCAGTCTGAGCAACAGAGCTAAGAGCAAGTGTACAACGCAAATGTGGGTTTGTTTTTTGTTTGAGTACTGAAGTACATTTCAGTACTAAGCCTTCTTAACTCCTCTTTGTATTTCTAAAGTGTCCAGAGCTGAGGGTGTTTAGCCTGGAGAAAAGGAGGCTCAGGGGAGACCTTAACATTCTCTGCAGCTCAGTGAAAGGAGGGTGGAGCAAGGTGGGAGTCAGCCTCTTCTCCCAGGCAGCCAGCACAGGTCAAGAGGAAAAGGCCTCAAGCTGCACCAGGGAAGGCTCAGGCTGGACATCAGGAAAAATTCTTCATGGAAAGGATTGTCAAGCTTTAGAATGTACTGCCCAAGGGAGGTGGTGCAGTCACCATGACTGCCACAGCACTGAGTGCCACGTCTGGTGTTCAGCCTTTGGCTAGACTCAGTGATCTTGGAGGTCTTTCACATCCTAAATGATCCTGTGTTCTAACTACTTGCTTGTCAAGGTGATAAGTTGTTCAGGGCTATGTTATATGGTGAGAAACACATTGCTGTAGATCTGAAAGTTCACACATTGTGCCCCTGTACACAGAGAACACTCGCTTGCTGAGTTTTGCTGCTAACAATGGTCCCAATGGATGTGCCCTGTTGCTTTCATTGTGCAGTGGGTCTCCTATAACTTAAACCTATATGTGTGTGTATGATCTGTCTGCCTGAACTGTGTAAGGACACTTCAAACACTCCAGAAGCATAAACTTGTCATTTCTCATTTTTCTGTTTCCCTTTGAAGTAAGCAAGGGATGTGTGGACCTGGCTTTAACAGAAGTGCTGTGCAAGCTCGTCAGGAGCACCTTTGATCCTGTGTTTGCTTTGTGACAATTTCAGGGAAAAGTGGCAAAAAAGTAGACCTTAGTGCACACTCAGGTTTGAGTCTTGTAGTAGAGCCTGAGGCATAGTATGAGGCAGAGTAGCAATTAACGTTTGCTTATCAGAGCTTATTCTTGAATTTATGTTTAACTTTAGATGTCTGTCAGAAAAAATTCTGCTGGTCCAAAGTCGATTTCACAGAACCATTAAGCTAGAAGGAACTGCAAGACTTTTGGCAGGACAACAAACTCGTATGCTGAACTCATTTGTATTTGCTAAACTGCGACTTCCTGCAACACAAAGGCCACCAAGTTTAAGTTATTTCTGAAAATAAATTGAGTAGTTTAGTCACCGCCAAGAAAAGACAAATGGAAAACCATCTTTGGTTGCAAAAGTGCTTCCTACAGTATTTCTGACTTCTACCTATTGTTTCTCCCTAGGTTGATGGGATCCTGTGCCTGGCTGACATCCTCACTGACACCAGTCATTCTGAAGCTACTCATGCAGAAGCAGCAGCAGTAATTGCACAGATCACATCTCCACATCTCACGTTCACTCAGCATCTCAGCAGCTTTCTGGAAAATATGGAAGAAATCGTGACAGCACTTGTCAGTAAGTTTTCTACAGGACTTCTGAGTCCATTAAAAATAGCAGATTAGGGTATGACTCTTTCATTAGAAATATTCCCTAAATAATGTTTACCATACTTACCTTAACAAATAAAATAACAATTTTAAATTCTGAGCCAGAGAATTCTGCAATTACATAATATCTTTTACTCCAAGCTACATGTGAATAGATTTATGCATATTTGTAAAAATAATATCTGTATGAAAATCTGTCTTAAGAGCCTCAAGAAAGACTCAGCAAAGCATCTTCTTATGTGATTTTTATCTGTAAAAGAGGTATATTGAGAACTGCTAATCTTTATGTTGTATTTTCCAATTTTCTAGAACTCAAACTCACCACTACATCTGCATTTGTATGGTAATTCAGAGGAAAAGTAGAGTGTCATATAATTTATTGGTATTGTTACAAGAAAATAAACGATCTGTCTTTCTTGTCTAAGCCCCTGATACATGGTAAAATGAGACAAAGGTAACAGCAAGATTTTCCTTAACTTGGGTCAGTGAGAATAATTTAGAAAAACAAGATGACATTTCCCATTGCTTTCTAAAGAGAGGAATATCTTATTTCTGGCACTGTGCTCTCTCCCTCTCAAATACCAGAAACTTTCATTCAAGCATTTTCGTCTCTCTAGTCTGGAAATTCAGTTTCCCAGAGCTCTGCATCAGAATGAACTCTTTGGGTCTTCTAGTTTGATTTCTCATTGTCGTGGTTTTAAACCAATAACTAAGAAAATTACTTATTTCTTGCTGTGAGATATGGATTAGAACAAGAGCAAAACAGGCATAAAACTTAAAAGGAAAAAAAAAAAAAGTTTATTGACAAACTACAATAAGAACACCAGAATAAACTTTCAGAAAAACCTTTTCATCCCCAGTCTACCCACTATTCCCTTGTTCACATGACAAAAGAGACAAAAACTTTGGAACTTTGATGGTTAAAACAGTCCCAATTCTTGCTACAGTCTTTTCACCAGTCTTTATAGAGAAACAGAAGTTTCTTCCTGTTAATTTATGGAGTTTCTCACAAGAAAAACTATTTTTGTTATAGTTTTCCATTGCTCTAATGTTAGCTGCCCAGAGCTGCTGTTATTAGAGCCCACTCCTCCCATTTTTCACATCACTCTCAAGTGTGTATGGGCCATGAGTCTAGGGATGGGATTTTTTAAGGATAAGTTATTCAAAGGCAAAAAGTCTTCTTCATCTGTTTCTGTGAGCTTCACCAGAAAACAGTTTTCTCATTGCCTCTCAAGGCTTCAAATCTTCCAGCACTTCACTGTACCATAATTACTCTACTTTTTTACTCAAAATTTACACTTTGAACACTCTATTCCTCCCTATTTACTGGCATGAATTAAAGGAGTGTTTTCAAGACCTTATTGTCCATTTCCATAGTTTTAACAGAAAGATATTTCAGCTTAATTAAAGCATCTTCTTAATTCTCTACCTTTTCTTTTCTTTCCTGTCACTAGTAGTTTATAAAGTCTCTTTTCATGTTGATCACTCTCTTTTCTCTGTCTGGATAAAAAGATTAATCCGCAAGTCTCATCTGGGAAATGAAAGAGTTAAAATCTTGCCCAGGCTGTTGTAGGTAGTTCTGTGGCCTCGGCCGGTGCAGGAGCTGGAGCCGTCTGCGATGGAAAGTTCCTCATGGCTGCTCTGGAGAGTGCAGTCGCCGTGCCCAGCCCGCTGTGAGAGCTGTTGTTCAGAGTTCTCTCTTTCTTCACTCAGCAGTTTCTGGTGAATTTAGTTACAGCAAAAAACCTGCAGCCGGGCCAGAGCCCGGAGAAAACCTTCCGCAGGGCCCGCATCTCCCGGCCGGGAGACGCTGGGCCCAGCCCAGTCCCCGCCCGGCCGCATGGCCTGGGCAGGGAACGGGAGGCCTGGAGCTCTGCCGCCCTTCCCAGCCAGGAAACAAAGAGAACCAAGAGAGCTCTGGTTTTACACTTTAAGGTAGGGTTCACAAGTTGATCCCACTTTTCAATGGCCTAAACTGCTGTCAATTCTCAGCAATGACCGATAATTGGTCAGGAGAAAAGACTCCAGGCAGTTCCCAGCAACTTAAACTTTCTTAAAGGTAAAGTAACTCCATGACACTCATGTATAATAAATCAGTACATTTGGAAATTTTTCTAGTGAGCCCAGTGGTTACAGTTAAACTGCAGCACTTCCATTTGAATGCATGATTTTGTGGGGTTGGTTTGTTTGTTTTTAAGAAGGAAGAAAGAGTAGTATGAGTGTCTGAGGATTCTGTGGTGGCAGGGTATTATCTGAGGTGTATTTAGGCATTCTCCAAAAGGCCCAAACAGAACTAGTGATGCAGAAATCAAGGGAACAATTTATTCCTGTTGTCCAGCAAAAAATGGAGAAGCTTGTGCCCTGAATCCAGCAGGTGGAATTAACCTGTGCTGAGCTTGGTTATGTTGTAGACACTGGCATCTGACCTGTTTTTTTTCAGATTATTTCTTGGTTATTATAGTGTACCACAGTCAAGGGCCAATCTGAACAGCCTATCCAGAAGGCACTAGCTGGTGGATCATTTCCTCAGTTGCTGCTGTTTAAGTTCCACAGGAATTTTAGTGGCATATATTCTGCCCAAGAAATGCAAGCATTAAAAATAGAACATGTATAACTTTGCAAGAGCTATTTCAGTAATCAGACACCAGTTTCCTTGTGATATTTATAACTCAGTAATTGATTACTGTAATATTTAATTTTTAAACCATGCAGAAATCCCATTTCTAGGTGATTCACATCTTAGTTAAAGTACATATGTACAAGGGATTAAAAGACAGATGTCTCTTAAGCACTTCTTATTGAAGTTGAAAAACATGCAGGATGATTTTTGACTACAGAGAATTAGATTTAGGGATAAGCAACATGTATATGTACTTTGTTGGAAAGAAGAAGATGTATAATAGAATTATTCTCATACAGATAATTTACTGTTAGCTTTCTGCCTCCTGTATTTAATTTTATTTAGTTATATTGAGCTTTATTTTGAACAACAGGCAGTGAAATATTCCCAGTAGAATGGTGTACTAGGTAGAGCATATCATTCATCAGAGGTTGTAGTGAGGTGGATGTTGGTCTCTTCTTCCAAGTAAAAGGTGATAGAACAACAGTAAATGGCCTCAAGTTCTGCCAGGTAAATTTTAAATTGGGTATTAGGAAAAATTACTTTATGGAAAGGGTTGTTAAGTGCTGGAAAACTCTGCCCAGACTCTGCTTGAGTTGCCATCCCTGGAGGTATTTAAAAGCTGTGTTGAGTTGGGCACATGGTTTGGTGGTGGACTTGGCAGTGCTGGGTTTGGTTGGAGCCCATGATCTTAGAAGTCTTTTCCACCCTACACCACTCTATGATGCTATGTAATTGACAAAATTAAGTTTATATTTTTTGTTTCCTTTTTTTTCTCCATGTTTATGAACTTGATATTGGCTAATAAGATCACTACTGCAAGTTGCAGATGCTTAAATATTGTCTTTAAATGCTGCAATGAAGGAATGACTTTTATTCAGCTTATTTTCTGCATTCCTAGAACTGTGCCAAGAAGCCTCATCAGGTGAAGTTTTCCTGCTGGCTTCAGCAGCTCTTGCCAATATTACTTTCTTTGATACCATGGCTTGTGAAATATTGCTCCAGCTAAATGCAATGAAGATTCTCCTAGCAGCATGCTCAGACAAACGCATAGTGGATACTCCGTATTCCAGGGATCAGGTGAGGAATTTCTCTGCAAGCCACTGTCACATTTGTGTAAAAGCCAAAAGATTTTAGCACTGTGTCTGTTTTGACATTGCCAAACCTAAGTTTCTTTCATATGACAGCTTTAATGTGATTTTCAAAAAATAATTAAAAAAAGCTGCAGTCCCATTTATCTAAGATAGCAGAATTTATTGTTCCTCATCATGAGTTAGGACAGAGACCCAGACAGGTTGTGGAATCGCTGTCTTTGGAGGAATTCAAAACTTGACTGGACAGGGCTTTGAGACAAAGTTATATATGGAGCCTAAATACACAGTTGTCAGTTTAAAGATGAATTATCTCCAAAAGCTGAATAAGGACCTGATCCCCAGCCCACTGACGTCGTTGGGCTTTGGACCAAGTCCTGTCTACCTGGTAGATGGTTTGCAAATTTTTATTGGCAAATACTGCTAATGTACTTTTGCCTTTCCCTTTCCTTCTCACCACTATTTTTAATTTTTAATTTTTTTTTAGTAAAGGGACACAGAATACTAAAGGTCTATGGTATTGCACAGACGAATTATGGTAGACTTGGGATCTTCACTGCCACAGAAGTTTTTTTTCACCCTTAACCAGGAGCCAGGCCTTGGAAATTAAGGCCCAATTGACCCTAGAAACTAATTATCGGTGTTCTAGCGGGGTGACTAGGACTGTTTTAGATTATATTAGTAGCACTTACTAATTTTTCAGCTCAGAACTGTGTATAAAAAGATAGAATTAAGCCATAATTACTTAATGCCCTTTAGGCAGAGGTATCAGCTGTGGTGTTGACATGGCTGTCTACTATCACATATGTAAAACCCTTCACATTCTCTTTTTTTCAGTCTTCCTACATGCTCTCATGGTTTTAATTTCTTTATTTCTTTATGCCCTCATCTGAATTCTGCTGTCAGCTGTGAATTTGCAGTTTTCTCTGTGGGTAGCACAGCAAGCCCCTTCTTTTTAGGAGGAAGGCAGACATTGAAAGAAATACATATGGCTTTTTTTAGGTGACAGGCTAGTTCCAGGCCTTTTGCAGCTTGCAAGATGCAAGTTCATCTCACCAGCTAGATGAACAGCAGACTGAATGGCTTCCTTCCAAGAGCTGAGATTTCATCCCCCATAACACTTCACCTTCCTCCTCAGAATGAAAAAGTAGAGCAGAAAGGGTGATGCTCTCTGTGGCGTGCTGCAGGAAGCTTCTGAGCTGACTCCTTGGCTCCTGCAGCAGTGGGAACTATAAAATAATACATAAAATTTTATATAAAATATATAAATATATATATATATATATATATATATACACTGAGGTGGAATCTGAGTGCTGCTCATCTTTAAGAGCTGCCAGTCAAGCAGTTTTGGTAATTAAATAGCCTTAAGAGAAGGCTTCCTTCAAATTCCTGAACAAGTGTGTGTTTGACTGAATTGCTCCCCTTGTTTCAGTCTTGTATTTGTGGGGTGGGGATGGTATCTGCCAATTACAGCAGTTTCATGGAATATTTTGCCTTTTAATTTGCTCTGTGCAAAGGTGCAATGAGGAAAATACACTCAGCTGAAAAGAAAAACAGCACTACAATATTATATTTTATAAGGGCATTATAAATTACTATTTTGGTTTTTGACTGTAAATCCTTCTAGGTAAGTAATGTAGTCAATATCTTTTTCCAATCTATATAATATTATGTCCCAGACAATAGACATTTGCCTAGGGAGATTTACATTAAAGATGAGTAGGTTTGAAAATTTTTAGATTAAAGATTTTATTTTGGATTATGCAACAAATGTTAAATGTATTTTCATGGATTAGTGTCCATTCTGAATGATCAAGTCATGTTTGCCAGTGAAATAGATGGTTTGGAATTGACTTATACTAAGGGTTGAAACAGTTAAACAAAGTAAAATATTAATAAAACATACAACAAAGTATGGTCTGAATAATATAAAATTTTATAAAATAGCCCCTCAAACTTAAATGCTCTGTTTTTCATACAAAACTTTAATTTAAGTAACATAACTACTTATAGAAAACTACCTAAAATTTCTAAATATATTATTACTTTAGCATTAACGCTGATTTAAGAAAATTCTATTTTGGTAGACTGAAGTGTGCTTCACTGTAAGCCAAAACTGGGAGGAAGACAGCTGAAATGCAGAGAAGGAACACTGAACTTTGTTTTCCTTTGTGCCATTGTATCTCATCTTAAATTCATACAATATCCTTCTATACAGGACATAGAATTACTATTAGTTATCACCCTTTGTGATGGTAGAAATAAATAACATTGTGCCCAGGTGTTGGATATTGGGTAGATGGTGTACTGCCTGCAAAAACTATTTTACTGCTCAAGGACCTCTAAAATTATTTTGCCTTTTGACTTCAGGAAAGTCTTTTTGTCCAAATGATAAAATAACCTTTCCCATCATCGCTATCCAAAAACCAACCTCTTTCTTCTTTTATTTCCCAGGCTGTGTTAGATTAGGTCAGGAAAGAAATCTAGAACTGAGAGCTGAACTTATTGATGAACAAGATTATAGTTGTCCATTTTATAGAAGCATGTGACTGTTTCCACAGCCAGCAACATTATACTGAGATTCCTTAGTTTTGTAACAAAATGCATTGTATAAGAACAGTCATCAAGCAATATTTTCCAGATTCCTTAGATCCTCGTTTAGGTCAAAATGGATATGAATGTCCCACATTCTGTTTCTTTCTGCAGACAGTCGTTTTCTGAAGAGCAGGTTTTTTACTTCAAGAAAGCATCAAAATATCCTTTCAGAAGGGTTCATGCCTAAATTTAGCAGTGTAGTATAAGCAGTGTTAATGGAGTTTAAGATCTGTCAGAAGAGGGGTTCAGCCAAACTCCTTATTCAGGATCTTCTTGACTTTAGCCATCATCTTAGACTCAATATAGAAAAATATGAAATATGTGTGTTTGGGTACACGATGCTTATGTGTGACTAATTTTTTCTCTCTGCATTCCCACTTGTCTCTTCAGTGCTGTCAATATTCTCACCTTACCTGTGAAGTTGTGGAGGTATAGCCTAACACCTTTGATCTTCTCTTATACAGGCAGACAAAGAATTAATGTGCAGTGAACACATCCATTTTAAAGTGGTTATTCCTAAGTCTAAAATCAGTGAATTATGTTTCAAAACAGTTTAAGGTGGAGAAAGACTTTTAAGCTGGAAGGAAAAATTGGAAATGGTTGCTGTTATTTTTTTTCCTAATAAATTCTTTCCTGTTTGTAGTTGGGAGATGCTGCTGGGTTTGACACTGACATCTTCTGTGTCATTTAAGCTTTTAAATCCTTAATACCATTCTTCCTCTAGGTTCCTCTAGATTCTTTTCTCTGCTCTTCACCTTTTTTCCTTATCAGGCATTTGTGTTTGTTTTTACTGCCTTCCCTCACTTTTTCCCCCTGCCTTAAATGAAGATTGTAGTGTCAAAAGGAGATTTGAGACAGATGTTACTTTAATACAAAGAAGTTTTGATTTTTAAATGTTGCTGAATCCCCCGTGAAAGATTTTGAGAGTAATGTTTTTAATGAGAAGGGTATTAACAGTTCTTTAAGATTTCCTTTGAAAATCCCTCTCTGTATGGAAGAATCTTGCAGCACTACTTTTCAATCTGAGTTTCTTGAATACTGGGGAGTTTACTAACAAAGCCTTTTAAAAGGGTATCAGCACTGTTTTCTTGCACAGGTCTCTGTTAACATCCTGCTCTGACATTAGTGCCATGATCATTAGATATGTGGTTGGAATTCCCTTCCTTCTGAGAGGCCTGACTGTGCACTGTGGTTGATAAAGTGTACATTAAAACTGTGGGATCCTTTCCAGTATCGACTAGATCCCACTGAGAAAACATGATTTCAAGTAATATAGCTAGAAAGAGAACTGATAAATTTAAAAATTAAGTTATTTTTAAAAGCTTAATAAATCAAGAGAGAAACATGACTGCTAGGAACAGATGTAAAAATGAAAATTATGCCAAAGTCACCTGACTATCTGAATTTTAACCACGCCGTTATATTAATGATATTCCAATTAGTTTCATATGTAAGATTGTAATAATTTTCCCAATGTCTTTTGTTTTTCTTTTTAACTGCTTATCTCTGTCTTTTCATGCACATGTGACCAGCTTAACTAATTACCAGTACTGACTGGCATTATATGGTCAATGCTATGGATAGTTGTATTTCAGGGGTCCAAAACTGACTGTCTTAAACACCAAAGCTTTTTGAGGCAAAATTCCTGCTTAGTCACAATTATGCCTTTCATATTTTAGATTCTGTGTGGGATAAGACAATGTGCTCCCACTTGCAGTGCAAGGGGTTCAGTTGGAAGAATAAAATCTCAACTCAGTCGAAAAACTAACTTGTGTTGAAAGGCTAATTTGTGCTCTGCTCTGGGGAGATCAGATCTCTTGGGTGCCTTTGGCTGGTTGAGTCTGTTTCAAAACATGTGAAGCTTTTCAACGCCTTGAAGGAAGTCTGAGAGAAAGTTATTCTTTCCCTCACCACAGGTTTTAACCTGAAATACAGAACACTGTGGCCACTAGCTCAATCACTCATTTAGTCATGAGCCCTGGTTTATGGGATGTGTTCTTTCACAATGGGACCCATACAGGGTGCATGTCCTCTGTGCTCCTTCAAAACAAATCATGTGAGAACCTGGCTATTCTGCCTGTTCCTTATCTAGATTAGTCAGCAATAGGAAGTAAAGTAAATAAAAATGTAGTAAAAACTTCCTTCATTCCAAAATGTAAATTTCCTACAGCTTTAGTCTCTGTTGCTGTGCCTCAGCATGCCAAAAATACAGTTCCCTGGCACAGTCTCAGAATAAACCTAGCATTTGAAGCAGATTCTGTATCCAACCACTGTTATTATTTTGGGGGGATGTTAGTTGCTTCTGCTCATCTAGGCATATTTGTTTTCTGTTTTCAGGAAGAAAAACTAAATTCCCAATCACAAAAATGGCTATCAGAAGAAATTCGAGTT